TCTAGCATCATTGATTCAGGTTTGAAGATGATATCGAAATTAAATACAGTGTAGCAATAAAAAAAGGTAGAACACAAATGTTCAATTTTTATTATCATCCAATCAGTAAGTTTAGTAGTTATGTGTTCAAACAATAAAATTCAACTCTTTTTTTTTGTTAGTTCCATGATTTGTAACTTTAAGCTTCTTTCCATAAGGAATTTCATTATTACACTAACTAAGCCATTTCATATCGTTCAGCATTTATTAAAAAGTTTCTTTTTAGTCAAAGTTTTTAATCACGATATAGACTTTCTTGACAATGTGCTAAGTATGATATTAAAATCAAACATATAAAAAAATCGTAATATATTATGTTATATTAGTACAAACCTCTGGCTATCGCTTCTGCACTGTTTATTATATCAACGCAATATCAATTGTGTAAATAAGGATTGGTTTGAAAGAAACTGGGTGAGAAGCTCAAGAATAACTATAAATGTACTAGGAAGTGCTATGGTGTGCAAGAGGTCTTGGGTTCGATTCTGAGTTAGGAAAATAATAAGCTTGAATTTTGGAACTGGCAGTTCATCTACAGTCAGACTGAAGCAAAGAAAAACATCAATTCTTTGGTAAAAGATGTTAAATGCGCCACGGAATTCACTAAACACCTATTCTAATTACTGTAGCGATTGATTTTCACTCATTATTTGACCAAAGCAAAGCTAAGGTATTCAAAACAAGGTTAATAAAAGTTTAACTTTGATTTTACTTTAAAAATTCCGAATATTATTTTAATAAAATTTATGAGACTTACAAAACGTGTTAGAAATCATTCAAGTATTACGTATGCAAAAAATGCGGAATGTTTAACCCTTCCTCCCCCTGTATGCATGACATGCAGAATAACCAAATGACCCTATCCCCTTCCTCTGTACGCATAAACATTTTAGAAATAATCTTTAATGAAAATGAACTCATTGTTGAATTGAATCAGTTCCATTATCACTGACGTACTGCCCCCTAGTGGCACAGTGATGGGCAGAACACAGATAGCACATTGTGTAGCTTTGTGCTTAACTTTAAACATGCAAACACTGACATACAATAATATCAGATCACGAAAATTTTGTTTAAGACAACATGAAATATACTATTGCATATAGAAGGAACGCAAGTTTTTAAAACTACAAGATTACTAAAAATGTCCCACCAGAGGAAATGGTGCAGGTAGAAATCTTAAAGGAAATGAATCATGTAAGTTTTTTCTCTACGATCAACAGCATTCTTTATCGATGCACTTAACAAAAACTGTTGGATGTGCTGTGCAGTCAATTCTGATAAAGGCTCCTCAATGTCAAGACTTGAGTTTGCACCAGAGACGAATTCTGCTGTCGCAATATAATCATCAAGAACCATTCCTGTCCAAACGTCGTTCAATGTCTCTCCAACTTTTTCGAAATTTTTCTTCTCCAGCTCAACAAGAATGGTTTTGCAAGAAGAATCAAAATGGCTACCATACAATGCTCAACTCTGTTTTATGCTAGTAGCCAGATGGATGAGTTACCTTGAAGTATACGTCCAAGATATAATGTTGAAATTGGTCACAATCAATAGTAATGACTTGGGAAATCTGAAGTTCTCATCAGGACCCGCCATCTACGTTTACAGCTTGGATTGGTTTCACTGTACCAATCCCATCACTCATCTCACTTTGATAATGTTCATTTGTGAGCAAATGTTCAAAATCCTTAGCATAGGTAAATGCATTACTGTCTTCATGCTTTTCACTGTGTATAGTAATATGTGTTGGCCCACTGTATGTTACAGCAGAGCTGAAGCAACTAGATGTTATTAGCATGCTGCATAAACTGAAGGAATGAGATTGTGCCTCTCATTAATGACGAAATCGTGGTTTGGCAGACGTACTTTGTATTCAACATGCATGAAAATGGGTTCTTGCCTTTTCATCAACACAGAGAAAGAAACACAGCTTGGGTCGAAACCAAGAGCAGAGGTCATGTATTTAGTCATAGGTTGCAAAGGTGAAATCAGCATCAACATTTCTTTATAGTGTGTGTTTGGAGCCCGACACACTTTAACTGGAATCGTTGAAATATGGCGTTTTCTTTCAGTTGTATCACTTATTCTAGGTATCAAAGCTACTCTCCCGCTCGACTCAATGAATATCCTTGCTTTTTCAAAGCATCAAGAGTATTGCATGTGTGCAGCATTTCAGGACACCGGCGATCATCCACTGCTTCCCCTGCTGTTTTAAACTCCTATATAGTATCTAGAAGACTAGGCTGAAATGTTTCCAAGGAAGTTCTTCTTATGCTACTCATGCTGAACTTTTGAATTCAGCAATTGTCTTTATCTTTTGATGCAGCTTGTAACATCTCTTATGCTGGTGATCTGCTTTTGACTTCAGACGGCCTATGTCTGGTGTAAGTTTTTTCATATCCTTTCTTAAAACTGAAATCTTTTAAGTTAATTTCATCTGCGGACAATATTCCAGTATATTTTAAATTGATTCATTTCAATTATTTTGCCTTGTAGCTCGTTGATTTGATCCAGCTTGTCCTACTTTGAAGTAGGATGAGTCGTGCTTGCTGAGTTTTCAGGTTCTCCAGGCTCTCCGGGTACTTCAACCTCTACCATTTTTTTTGTTTGTTTTTTGAAGTAGCTGTATCATCAAATAGATTTAACCTGTTTCTAAGCTCGTCTGAGACTGCATATGCAAAGTAGGCATAAACAAACCTTTACCCCTCTGGACACATGGTGAACGTATGTATGTAAATCCCCCCTTTAAGTTTATTTGATACTTGAATTCCCCATTACAATTTTACCATTCAACGAGGTATGACTCCAATTACTCAAGATGTAGCCAAATATTCAAAATTAAAAATATTGTACATCGCTTTAGATGGAATCACAGAATGGTGAATCATCACAACCTAGGTTCTTCAATAAAAACAGATATACATACACTTTAAACGTCAAGAATGCCAAATCAATTAAATAAGCATTGGGTTTGATAAAGTGAAATTCTAGCAACTCTTTTTACGGATAATGATGAATTTAAACGGTTAAAGGAACAATTTGGGATTGTTCAAACACAGAAGTTGGTCATTGGGTTTCTATCAAAATGTACCGTATCCACGGGTCTTTGTTTCGGTCGAAAATATAACTGTGACGTATGATTTGCTGAAGAAAGTAAATGCTGAGAAATAAATAAAATCAGGATAACAACTCTTTATTTCTTTCCAGGCAGAAGGATGTAGCAATAAAATCATATAGTATGAAACTAGATAATCATGTTAAGCACAAGAAACAAAAGATGTGGAACTGTGATATGACACTTCTCCTGACGAGCTACACAACTGCACAGTAACACTTTTTAGTTTATAATTAAATATGGATTAAAGCTCCACTGTGGTTACCCAAAAGGAGATGAGCTCAGGAAAACCCGAAAAAACTATGCCACCCAGTTGAGGGATATCATAGGTATTTTCTAGAATTTCGCTATTGTAATATTATCAGGCAAACTGATTTCAGTACAATTATCAGATAGTCCAGCTTAATAACAGCAGGGTTGAACTGGAAATTTGAGAGTAATCTGAATCTGAAAACTCAAACGAGTTTTAAGTTGCATGAAAAATAAACATACTGTATACTGTTGCGTCAGCGAGGTCACGTGACTCGTTCTCTCGAACCTTCGGGAATTTGTCGGGAGATTACTAGATATAGGGTAGTCTGGTATATATAAGAGGGTGACAACGTGACGGGACAATAATG